AAAGATGCAGCAACCCAGTGAATTTGGTTATAACACAGGAAAGAGTCCAGAAATAGATGTTTATGTACATGCATGCTCGGTCTATTTTCAGTCAAAGTACAAAGATAATTTGTCAAAGTGATATTCCTTTTGTGATGGCTAGTCTTGGTTGTCAACTTGACACACCCAGGAAGAGGGAACCTTGATGGAAGAATTGCCTTCGTCAGATTGGTGTGTGCATATGTCTGTGGGGGCATTTTCTTGATTGCTGATTGATGTGGGCCCACTGTGGGTGGTACCATTCCTAGGCAGGTGACCTGGGGTCTGTTAGGAAGGTAGCTTAATGTGGGCCTAAGAGGAAGCAAGGAAGCAGCACTTTGTGCTTTCTGCTTCAAGCTCCTGCCCTGGTTTCCCTTAATGACAGACTGTGAGCTTCAAGTGTAGGATGAAATAAACTCTCTTATCCTAGCTGTTTTTAATCACAGCAACAGAAAGGAAATTAGAACACATTCCAACAGTTGTAACAACTGGACACACACACGCAAAAATGCATATGTACCCATACACGTGCATGTGGGTGCACTTGTGTGTGGAGGCCAGAGATCATCATTGAGTGTCTTTCTCGGTCTCTCTCCACCTTATTTTCTGAGACAGTGTTTCTCACTGAACCTGGAGCTAAATAGTTCAGTTAGGTGGGCTGGCCAATGAACTCCAGGAATTCACCTGTTTTGCCTGTCGGCACTAGGGTTACAGATGTTCACTGCCATGACCAGCTTTTACGGGATGCTGGAGATCCGAACTCAGGTCCTCACTCTTGGGCAGCGGGCACTTTACCAGCCAAGTCTCCCCTTCCCTTCAACAAAACAACAGCAGTCCCCACAACCACTCTATTTCTTTTGAGTTTTTAAGTTATATTCACTTATTTATTTGTATGTGTATGTGAGTGTGTAGAGGAGCATACAGCAAGGGACAGCTTGTGGGAACTGGTTCTCTCCCTCCGTCGTGTGGATCCCAGCAATCAAGGACGGGTCATCAGGCTTGGCGGCAAGCACCTTTACCCACTGGGCCATCCTGCCAGCTCTCTGTGCTTTTTGAAACAGCGACTCTCCCTGAACTGGGGTTCGCCGGCTAGACCACGTGTCCTGTCCTGATGCTGGGTTTGCAGGCATGTTGCCGCACAAGGTTTTCTTTTTTTAATGAGGGTTCTGGGGAACAGAGCTTGTGTCCCCCCTGCTGGCATGGCAGGCACTTTACTGACTGAGCCAGCTCCCCAGACCTCGGGGAATGTCTCATGGCAGCTTTGTTTATAATCAGCCAGCTGCACAAGCCTGCTGATCCGAGTTCAATCCCCAGAACCCACATAAAGGTGGGAGGTGGGAGGTGAGAGGTGGGAGGAGAGAATGGATTCCCAAAAGCTGTTCTCTGACCCCTGCACACATGCTGTGGCATGCATGCACCTGTGCGTGCACACACACACA